AAAAAAAAAAAAAAAAAAAAAAAAAAAAAAAAAAAAAAAAAAAAAAAAAAAAAAAGATAAAAGATAATAATAATAATAATAAATAAATAAATAAAATAACTATTTCTTTTATAAGGTTAAAATTGCTAAATTCTTTGACAATTTGTAACGAATGGGGAAATTTAAAAAATAAAAATAAATTGCTAAATTCTTTGATAATTTGTAACAAATGGGGATTCACACTCCCACGTGTGAGTTGTGTGTAGGGAAGTACTACACATCCAATCTCTCCGAGACTGGAGGCCACCCCTATAACGATGAGTTGTGTGTAGGGAAGTACTACACATCCAATCTCCCCGAGACTGGAGGCCACCCCTATAGCGATTAAAGATAAGTTTCTAAATCATTTTTCAGATAAAGGCAAAGCGCACTAATACAGAGGACGGAGCCATCGCGAGCAGAGACTATGACACGTGCATAATAGGATATTTAAATTTCTAAGTTTAGGTTAGAATAGATGTTGTTTTAAACGTTTTTGTTATAAATGATGTTCATGTAAGAGAAATAAATAGTCCCAATCGAACCCTACTTATATGGGAGACAAGAAACATTATATTCAAGATTTGACAGAGCAATTAATGTTAGACGAACACGACTCTTATAGCTTTGCTCCCAAAATGCCTCATACCAATGAAGTTAGTATTCTTCACTTATAAACCCATGATCATTCCCTAAATTAGTCGACGTGGGACTTCCATCATCCAACAGTTAATTTTTTTTTTTTAAAATCTTCCATTTAAAAATTGTTTGAATGGAGTTTTGTTTTTCTCGAGAATCCTACGAGGTTGTTCTTACCATTATCTGTATAGAAAAATTATTTTTAGAATCGTATTATTGAAGTAAGCTATTACAAATGATATGGGTCGGACCCATCTGTGACCCACGACACACGGCTGCCTCTGCAACCCGAACCGGTGGTCCAGCCTGCAAACCCGAGGCCCAAGTTCTCCCTCGGCCCATTAGCCCACATCTGTAGTAGTCCAATAACCCGAGTCCCAAACCTATCTCGGCCGGTAGTCCAGTCTGCAGCGCCTCGACCTCACGCCATCTAAACGACGTGGCCTGCCCTGGTGCTGCCACATGTCCACTTGTGACAAAAGGCAGCCCCTCGACTCTGTAGCTTGGCTCGGCTCCCAGCGGCTTCCTCGGCTTATCCGTCTCGATTTTTCATTTTTCAGCTCAATTTCTACCCTTCTGACACTCTCGAACCTATTTTTGGCCCAGATTAAGGTAATTGAGGCCATTTTAGAGCCATATTTCACATTATTAATTGGATTATTAATTTAATTGTGAAATACTAACGAAAGGTGACGAAAGGTGTGATAGAAAAGGAGCCCAGAAATATTTGGAGCAACTCTCGAGAAACGGGAGATTACGTTAATTAAATAGGGAGTACTTCGACTAAGGCAACCAAGTAAGTGGACTTACTTTTAGGATTGGCTAGAAATTGGATGAGTTACAATCTATGATTGTTTGAGATGACATATTATGATGCATGTGATATTTATGTTTACGATATATGAGTTGTATCGTATGATGTCGTACACTAGTTATATGATGATGTATGAACTATGACGTATGAACTATGGTGTATGAGCTATGATGATGTACGATAAAGTATATGCGTTATATGATGATGTATGATGTATTTGATATACTCGATGCACTTGATGGCTTTATGATGACTATGATATCTTGCATGACTTTTACCCGAATATGATGATGTTTTCAAATATTAAACATGTTGTGTGATGATGAATGTCATATTGTATCAATTCATAGATCGACCTAAGACATAATCCTAAAAGTATGAAAATGATATTAATATAAATATCTAACGAGCATGTCTTACTAAGCGTAACAAAGAGATAGACTAGAGTTGTATCAGAAGAGATGTTAAGATGAGAGACAGGAGGAATCTCATGCATGTACATAAGCATAAGGGATACTTCTCCTTTACGATGATGAGTGCGGACGCAGTGTTCATGCTGCATGACACTAGGGGGTCAGTGGGTTGTAGTTGTAGTTGATGCAATTGGCTTGCTTTAAGGCTAGGTGAAAGATTCTTCAGGATTTGAACGTGGGTTTAAGCCATGCGCCACTGACCATTGCTTGCTGTGTGTTGCATAATTTGTGTCAAATTGCTAAGGAGCCAGAGCCTGAACCATTGAAGGACCCAAATGAGACTGGCCCAAATGGCCCAAAAGTCTATGTGTTATTATGGTGAAAGTGTGAGGCAGGCACGGGTTGATAATTTGTATCAAAGGTTTCCATCGAGGCTTCCATCGAGGCTGACTTGGATACAAAGGATAAAACTCGAACTTTCTTAAGAATAAATTAGTGACACGAGCCTAAACTAATAAAGTAAGTGACTTTACTATCGATATGGTTATATTTGATATTGACACGTATCCCGTAATTCTACACGTGTCATATATATTGATATGTGTGAATTGTTTATGGATTGATATGCTTATGATATGATATGTATATGATATTATGTGAATTGTATGATAATACTTACGGTATAATGTGTTCAATGATATGTTTGAAATAGGATACAAGAAGGATGCACTAAACGTGATGTAATGATAGAAGTAAGATATGTTCATGAAACGTCAAGGTTAGGTTACGTATTGAAGTGTTATGGATATGAGAGATTGATAAAAATGATATGGTCATGATCTATTGATAAAAGAATATGGTTAGATTATGGGTAGAAAGGGATAGGGTTTAGGGTTTAGGATTATATTAGATTGATAGAATGATAGCATTAGGATACGTTCCTGTAACGATATGACTAAGGTACGTTCATGTAACAATATGACTGTGATAGGTATAAGAATGTTAAGACTATGATAAGTTAGGGAATAATATGACCATGAACTGTTTACAAATATGATATAGTTATGATACGTGAATGATATATATATATATATATACATATATATACATATATATACATATACATATAGACATAGATATACATATATCTACATAAATATATACATATATCTACATAAATATATACACAAATTACATAAATATATCATATCATAACATTCTATGCTTTCAAACATAACAATTTTTTATCATATACATATCCTACCATAACATTTCACATCACAATATATCATATCATAAACATGTAAATTTATCACATATCTCGTACCATAAAACATTTCATATCATTTTCATATCATGTCACAATACACATACTCACACGTATAGGCTATGTGTTGAGTATATGATACACATCCAAGTTACCCCTTAGGATAGTACCGTAGGAAAATAGATTGAAAGGATAGGTCCCGTCATTGTATTCGCATGTTCTTACATCTAACCCCCGATAGTGAGATCACTTGCCGAGTATTTCTTTAAATACTCAAGTCACGTGCTACTTCTATTTCAGGTTAAGGCAAGACATTCATGTACGATTGACGACGACATTGCAACTCGAGACCATGACACATACATAGGGTAGTCGTATTTATTTTCTTAGACTTAGGCTTAAATGTTTATTTAGTCTTTTGTTGTGTTGTTTTTAGATGTGTTTTCAAAACAGGTAAATCCATGACTGTGTTTTAAGATGAACGTGACATTTTATGAAAGTTTAAACGAAGTATTTTTGTATTCAATGTTCATGATAGGTTTACAGTAACAACTTTAAATTAAGTAGAAAATTTTGAGTCGTTACACGTTAAACATAAATATAAATATTTTGGAATCATAATACGTGTATATATATAAATAAAAAAGAAAAAAAAATGATATCCACAAAGTAAATGAACCAAAATTGTTGTATGAATTATAGGTGACAAAATTTTGAGGGAAATATAGCATTCATAGAAAAAAGTAGGATATACCTTTATACATATATAAAGGTATATGTCTCACCAGCAAAATTTATATTAAATTTAAAGGATAAAGTCTCAATCAAGTTGTTGTATTGAGATGTAAAAGATAGTGATTCGTTTGAATCACTTGAGTTTGGATACTCACTTTGTCAAAGGTCTTTGATCGGTGTGAGTGTTTGCATAGTTGTGGCTGCACATAGTTTTGGCTACAGCTGCGTCACATGAAGTTGAAGCTACTCCAGTAAACAATGACGGTTGCACATAGTTGTGGCTGCACATAGTTGTGGCTGCAGCTGCAGCTACGTCACGTAAAGTTAAAGCTCCTCCAGTAAACAATGACGGCTGCACATAGTTGTGGTTGCACATAGTTGTGGCTGCAGCTGCGTCACATGAAGTTGAAACTTCTCCGGTAAACAATGGCGGCGAATCTGCGATTCAAATTCATATCAGTTTTAACAAAAATTTAAGTAATGATCCTAAACTTTAAAAATGTTTAATACTTGAAATCACCATACCAGTAAGCTCATTTCCAAAGTCATCCGTAAAGTACACTTGTGGACTCTTATCCTCATAATTCAAATTGTTTTGCTCAAGAATGTCATGGACTTCGTTAAAAGTTTCATCTCCCATGACATTATTTGCTGGAAAACATGTCTGTTTTCATACCGCATCGACTTAGTTTAAAGCTCTCTATTTTAATATACAAAAATAAAAGTTGAAAGAGAGCGTGTAACCTCTGAGAATGGCTCGTATATGGTATAACTCTGACACTCAAAAGCATTTTCAACCGCCATTATCCATGTTTTGTCTGAAACTTTGTTACCAAGCAGCTGCACAAATTGTTATTTTGTTGGTTTTGACCCTCCCATCGAAGTATGTCAAAATGAATAACCGGAGTAGAAAGAAAAATAAGAAGAGGGTTTATTTGATACCGAGTTACTTCAATCACAATACTTTACAATTTTACGTGACTAAAACTTATATTTAATGGAGCACTAACAATTCTTCTCTTAGAACTGCTTAACAACTAATAACTTCAATTTCAAATAAATCTATTTATTTTGATTTGTTGGGCTACCTTTCTTAGACGGGCAGGACCTATTTTTTGGTATTCGAGCAAGAAGTCGTCCACATTTTTGATACCATGGGAGGACAAATTTCTGTGATACGGTCCATCTTTTCGTATGCCTTCCAATCGCCAAACTTCATCTTCTCTACTTGGAGGATGATGTTTCTTGTTCACTGAAATTATATAAAGAAAATCATTCATTCAATCATGTAAAACTGTTAAAGAGACGGAGTTTACCTTCTCCACGGTGATCCATGACCCTAAAAGATTGGGACACAGCAAACCCAACGGTTGGAAACATGGCTAGAACTTTTTCATCGATAAACTTCGCTACCAAACGAAACTTCTTGGATTTCATCCAACTCGAGTTGTCCGTGATAGACACACACTTAATGAAAGCAACGCCATTCTCCAAGTTGAGTTTGATACCATTACCAACCAGTAAAGGCCTTTTCCCATCTCTTGGAGATAAAATGTTTCGACTCAATTCACTCAAACTACTGTTAGTTTCATCATAGTCTCCATTGACAACGACGAGCCCAACCAGGGCCGATGCCAGACGACCCGTGCGGATTATGGCATTGGTTGTGGCATCACAAATTGTAACTACTAGAGCCTCACCATTTTCTGCTTTGATTTCATTGTTGGTGAAGATAGTGGAGGGTGGTTGGTTGCAGAAAACTAGCTTGAACTTCTCAATCCCTCCTTCAAAAATTGCTTCTTCTCCACCCTCTCTCCTTTCTCTATATGATGAAACCAAACCATAGTTTAAAATACAACATTTATTCAAATAATATAGTTATAAATAATACAAATACGTAACAATGTCGTGTGCGACTAAAATGTGAGTCAATAAGCTCTACTTGTTCAACCCCGAACATTAAACATCATGGAATGCAACAGTCATGCGTTAAGAAATCAGTAATCGTGGAACATTTATAGGAAAAGAGTTGTACGTTCTACCACAAATACCTTAATATAAAGAAACTATATCCTCAAATTACCGTGTTATTTATTTCATTTCTTTCAGGTTCGATTATTTGTTTTACTCAACCAACAAAATAGGACAGAAAATTGAATACAAAATTCTCATAAAATTGTATCTAAAGGTAATTTTATCCAAAGGTGCAGACTAAATTGTTAATTTCAGAATAGAATCCAATCGAATAGAATCAAATAGTACAAAAACCAGAATAGAATCCAATCGAATAGAATCAAATAGTACAAAAACGAAAAAATGAATGGAATTTAAAATACAAACCTTAATGATTCTAAAAGAGGATGAAAGTGAGTTTGAAGTGCATTCATCACTTCCACTTGTACCTTAGAAAACACAAATGTCAGAGATGAATTTCATATTCAAATTTGGCTTTTCAAGAAAGGTTCAAGAAGCTCGAAGATAGAGTTGTAAACGACATTAAAAAAAATACCCAATTGCTCAAGATAGGTTGGATTCGAGACAAACATTCAAGCACGTAACGTTCATCTTCAGCTACAGATGTAGCTCCAATACTATAATGAAAAACAAACCGACAAGAACATCAAAACCTAGGAGACCCAGAAAAAATAAAAATAAAGAATTGAGAGAGAGAAAGAGAGTGAACCCAGATGAAGAAGAAGGGCGAGTTCTCTTAGGGTTAGGGTTGTGATCATCATCATTAGGAGGCATCTTGGCCTTGCCCTTGCCCTTGCCCTTGGCATCCATTTTGATATCTATGCCTCTTCAAACTGATACTCACTCCCTGAAATATGGAGTGATGTGGTGAAAGGAGAGAGAGGTAGAGAGGGGGATTTATGGACTCAACATCTTCCATAGCTGAGAGCTTTGTTTGCACACACACACACACAGAGCTTAGTAATTGTTTGGAAATTTTCAGATAACGTGTTCTTTCATTGGTTAGGGCTAAGCAAATTCCACCTGTCCTAATTACTTTCCCAATTCAATTAATAAAAATACCCTAAAAAATATTTTTAAATTTTCAATAATAGATCTAAATTCTTAACGTTAGCACTAGTTCCTCCACGTACGGCTGGCACATCGTCCGGTGTCTGGCTCTAATATCATTTGTAACAGTCTAGACCCACTGCGGGTAAATATTGTCCTCTTTGAGATTTCCTCTTTGAGATTTCCGTTCAGGGCTATTGTCCTCTTCCTCTTTGAGATTTCCCTTCAGGGCTTCCCCTCAAGGCTTTAAAACCCTGCACGTGCGGCTGGCATATCGTCCAGTGTCTGGCTTTGATGTTATTTGTAACACCCACCGCTAGCAGATATTGTCCTCTTTGAGATTTCCCTTCAGGGCTTCCCCTCATTGTCCTCTTTGAGATTTCCCTTCAAGGCTTCCCCTCATTGTCTTCTTTGAGATTTCCCTTCAGGGCTTCCCCTCAAGGAGATTTCCCTTCAGGGCTTCCCCTCAAGGCTTTAAAACCCTGCACGTGCGGGGGGCGTGCGGGGCTTCCCCTCATTGTCCTCTTTGAGATTTCCCTTCAGGGCTTCCCCTCAAGGCTTTAAAACCCTGCACGTGCGGGGGGCGTGCGGGGCTTCCCCTCATTGTCCTCTTTGAGATTTCCCTTCAGGGCTTCCCCTCAAGGCTTTAAAACCCTGCACGTGCGGGGGGCGTGCGGGGCTTCCCCTCATTGTCCTCTTTGAGATTTCCCTTCAGGGCTTCCCCTCAAGGCTTTAAAACCCTGCACGTGCGGGGGGCGTGCGGGGCTTCCCCTCATTGTCCTCTTTGAGATTTCCCTTCAGGGCTTCCCCTCAAGGCTTTAAAACCCTGCACGTGCGGGGCTTCCCCTCATTGTCCTCTTTGAGATTTCCCTTCAGGGCTTCCCCTCAAGGCTTTAAAACCCTGCACGTGCGGCTGGCATATCGTCTAGTGTCTGGCCTTGATGTCATTTGTAACGGCCCAGACCCACCGCTAGCAGATATTATCTTCTTTGAGCTTTCCCTTTCGGGCTTCCCCTCAAGGCTTTAAAACGAGTGGAAAAGTTTCCACACCCTTATAAAGGATGTTTTGTTCTCCTCTCCAACCAATGTGGGACATCATAAAAATTGTGTATGGAAAGTTGAAGAGTGTTTTTAACCTGGTATTAATAATATATGTATTTGTTACTATTTTAATAAAAATTAAAATGTGTTTTTGAAGATTTTAAAAAATATTTAGAGGTATTTTTTTAAGTATTTTGTTGAAATAAGTAAATTAGGAAGGGTTTTTTTTTATAAAAAGACGATAGTTCAGCCTTCGAAACCATATCACATCTCATCCCGAATATGATGAAATATGATGAATTAAAACGTTATTTTATAAATACGTAATTATCTTGAATATATTAACTATTTCTTTATTATTCGATCGCCTGGACGAGACAGAAGAAACATATTGTTCTTTCTTCAACAATTTCTGATCTCTAGTGAACCTCTCAATAGGATTCGAACCCATATGAAGTTTTTACCATTTTTCTGAGAAAAAAAGAACGAACTGACCTTGTAGGATTCTCGAGAAATTCTTCGATTTCTTCCATATCATCTCCTTCTCACGTTCCGTAAATAGCCAGGACATTGAAGAATATTCAGAAAAGTATCTAGGGAATCAGTCTAATTCTATATCTGTTCGTTCAGGTTTGAAGAAAGGAAGGATCCCAAAAAATCAATCTACCTCTGTTTAGGTTAATTAATTTATTTTTATTCAGTTACGTTGATAAACTAAATTTTCGATATCTTTTGCACAATATTAATTTTCTTAACTTTATTTTGTTGGTCCCCACCTAAGACCTAAGACCTAAGATCTACTACATACTTCCTCCCCAAGTTTATATATATATATATATATATATAAAGATATATATAGGTGTTGGGTAATATCTATACGTGGTATAGGTTAGCTATATTTACGAGATGTCTACTCAGATCAATAATTATTTTTAATATATATACACACAAATGGAGATGGGACGGGAATCACGACAAGCACGAGAAATTGGCTAGGGTAAGGGGGAGAAAATATAATCAACCCCGTTTAGCCAATAACTACAATTTAAACTTACATCTATATAGGTGTAACAACATAAGCCCACCGCTAGCGGATGTTGTCCTCTTTAGAATTTTCCTTTCGGGCTTCCCCTCAAGACTTTAAAACGTGTCTGCTAGGGGAAGGTTTCCACACCTTTACAAAGGATGTTTTGTTTTTCTCTCCAACCAATGTGGGACTTTCACAATAGAGAAGAATATTTCATTAAATTTGTACCGATATAGTCTAAAGTGTTACAAACATTAAATTACATGGACGTATCAAAGTTGAAAGACTAAATTATTATTTTCTTTAAAATTTAATATTAACGTAACTTTTATTTCAGCAAACAATGTATTATATATATATATAATACGATACAAATTAAAAAATAATAAAAATACTTCAAAAAAAAATTATGCTAAATATTTTAGAGTAATTAATTGAGGAGAGATAATTGAGAGAAGGGATGAGAGGTGAGCGGGGAGAGAACCATGGAGAAAGGTTATTTTTTAACCTAATTTTTTTAAAAACTATTTTTATTTATTTATTTATTTGGGTTATTACATTATAAATAATGTGTTAAAAAATAGTATGATATATTTAGGGGTAAGATTTGTACTATATTGCACAATTTTCACTCGACCCACAAATATTTAAGCTGTCTCGTATATTTTATAAGATTTTGTTCGATTCAGGTCAACTCGAAATTCGAACCGAACCTATTCAATTTCAAAAAATCAACCCAACCTAACCTAATCCGAAATGCTATTTGATCCAACTCAAGCCTCTATAGTTCGGGTTGGGTCGGTTCGGATTGTCGAGTTCTATGTATACTCCTACTTTTGATATCTGTAACAACTCTTTTTTACTTTAAATTTGCTTTTACAATTAATTTTGAATCGAAATCGTTAGTACTTTATTTCAAAAATACATTTAATCTTTTAACCGTGTCTGCGAAATACGATTTTTACATGGCTGAAAGAACGAGTACCGTAAAATCATCATCCCGCTACCAAAAAGAATGTGATTACGATACACCACACCTTATTACAAAAATCAAATAGAATAATAAAATTGAAATAAAAAATAATAATACACACTCTAACTGGGTAGATACACAAATTTAAACCGTCAAAATTAAATATCTTAGTCATATCGTCACATTACGTCGTTATATCAATCATATATATTATTTTTATTAAAGATCTCATTTTCTATTATTACTACGATTTTTGGAACATATAGCTACTGTTATAGGAAAGAATTTCAAAATTCGGTTCGTTTTTCATGGTCTATCCGCTATAATTCTTATTCTCAGAAATTAAGATGTTTTGTACACGGTAAAATTATTTAATCATCTCCAAATCTTCCATCTTCTTTTCTCGGTTTTTTTCTTAATTATTATTATTATTTTCTAGGGTTGTTACAGGCTCGTTATCCTTAAAACATATTGTATAATTGAACTTCGTAAAGCGAAGACATATATTAATGCATTCAATCAAACTTCTCTTTATAGCCTTTTGCTTTAACCCTAAAAAGTAGATGCACCCATGTGCTCAAGGCAACCTAATCCTCATTTAATTATATTTTAATTTTTGTCTCCTCCCATAAATATTTCTATTCGATTCACGGATCATGTCAAAACTGTTTATCGAACAAACTAATGAAGTTAGGTTTGAGTCGACGGGTGATCTAGAAAACACTACTAATCAAAGTGTTGAACAAACACAATCTATCGAATGTGTTCCAAAGTTCACGAATAAAGAAGTTGAAGAGACGGGTCAGTCACAGCAGAACCAATTAAGATTACAGAGAGCGATTCCTACGACCACCACGGTATAGAAGTGTTGAAAATGTTGAAAGATCAAGTGGGAATGGTTCAAACATGATCTTTGACCCGCACATTAATAATGTTAAAAAGAGAGAGAAAGATATGCAACAAGGGGTAGATTCTTCTTCTTCTTTGTCTTTATGAAGTCTTAGCTTTATAAAAGTTGGGTTCCAAACTCCAAAACCCCTTTTAGGTTGGAATTCTTTTCACATTGGAGAAAAGAAATACAAGAATTAGCCATGAATGTCGGGAGAGATTTACGGGAGCTTTATAAAAAATGTAGTCGTAGTTATCGAGTATGGTATAATGAAGAAGAGTTGATAATGAATAAAAGGTAGATCTGTGCGAATTTCGAACAAAGATTTGTACTTATCCAAAGCAGTCGGCGACCAAAGGTGATATGGGGTATAAAGAGTGAAGTGAGGCCTTCCATTTGGTACCCACAATTTGAACTAAGACTCCTCTGAACGCTACAACCAAGCCTTTGTTTTATGGATTCTTAGAGGGCTAGAACAAAATTCGTCCAACGTTAGGTTCATGGGATGAAGCGGAAAAATTTTGATAGAGATATCGAAGGAAGTTGAGCTCTCTTACCCCCTAAAGTTGGGTAAATTATGAAATTGCCCTAAAATGATATCCGTTGTACATAAAATTTTAAAATATGGGTGCACGTGAAACCATCAATAGGAGTAAAAAATGATAAAAATCCGTTGCCTACTATGTTAATTTTATGGTCTTAATGAACTCCGAATGACCCAAATCTTTACATGACACCTACTTATAATGTTATGAATGAATTATGCGTGATTTTACGACGGTTTGACATGGTTATGACATGTATGCTTGAAATAGGAATTTATGAGCCTTAAAAAATGTCGTATGCTTAAGTTATTCCTTAAGCCTCTTATGATAGACCCTTACGGTCAAAACCATGAACACTAGGGTTATTAGCTAAT